ATGGGATGATGATACTGGAAATGGTTGGAGTAAGAAACACCTCACCTTCGTGCAATAAGAGTGACAGTGAATACTATTTTCCACATTGGATTTATGAGCATTACAATCAAATTGGCCATATGGAAGGATTCAGTGTAACTATTTTGTCAGAAGAGATTGCAAAGAAGATGATTTTGGTGGGGTTGTGGTGCATCCAAACAAATCCTGAGAGTCGGCCATCGATGAGCAAGGTGGTTGATATGCTGCAATGCAGCATTGATGACTTGGATATGCCACCAAAGCCAACACTTTCATCTTCTTAGTATCATTTTGTTCTGTGCGAGGTAATTCTTTCATGCTATTTTATTTTCTTGATTTTCTTAGTTATTATTTGATGGAATCTGTTGATCTTCTGTAGGTGGCATTCTGATAATTTGGAAAAGTTTGGAGCCTACAATCAATTGCTCCATCAAACGTTTATATGAAGCTTAAAGCCGCACGATCCTAAGTGATCAACAAGCCTTGTTATTATTTTTGCGGCAGCTTTCAAACAGATGCATCCTCGTTTTTACTATAAATCTTTGTTTGGCCTGACGGAATTGAAATAGATAAATTGGAGATTAAAAAAGGTTAAAGAATTTAATTGAAAATACTTTTCACTTATTAGGTGAGGAGAAATTGGGTGAGAAAATAATAATTATTATTTTTATTAAGAAAATAGCTAAGAAATGAAGTATGAACAAAGCCTAATTGTATTTAAGCTTCAGTTTTACAGTGGATGTGTTTCTTCTCTTAAACACTTGCCTTGGTTTGAGGGAATTTGAAAGATGCAAATTCATTTTACTTGCATTATTTTGAATATTTTTATTTCAATTGAAATTACATCGAAAATGTGCGAGACCTTTTTTTTTTCTTCCATCGACAATTTTGTATTCAATTTTCATAAAAAATAATAAAAACTTTATCATAAGATATTAAAACTCAGTTTCCATAAATCAAATAAAAAAAATTTCTTTTACTCATATTTTTCTTGTTGTGTGCATGAACATTTGCGGTGATTGAGAGATGATGAGTTTAACGTCCTAATTTTATATGAAGATCCAACACAGACAAGATAAGAGAGCACTCAGAGTGCAAGAGTTGTAAGAAATACCATAATTTTTATGTGTAAATTCTATAAAATGAAAAAAAAAAACATTGGCCTTGCCCGGTTAAAATGTTTCAACTTGTGTTTGTTTTTGGTTACAAATTATCCCTTTTCATGGGGGATAGCATTGGTTTAATGTAGTGAATATACATTGTATAAAGCATATTATATGTTTGGAGTTGGATATATTAAATGTAAAGGTTGTTCTCAAGAGAATATTCGTATTTTCATTTGTTCGATAGGATTGTAGTCAGATAATAGTAGTTTAAGGGATTGTAGTTGGGTGAGGGTGATCATAGGGACCATAATCGGATGATTGAGATTGGAGGGATTATAGTCGAGTAGCGAAAGCTAGAGGGGCTGTAGTCGGGTGATAAAGGTAGGAGGGATCATGGTTGGCAAGAAATGAAGGTTGGAGAGACTGTTGTCATGCGACAGTGGTCGAATAGATCATAGTCGTGCAATTAGGGTTGAAGAGAGCGTTGTTAGGTGAAGGAAGTCGAGGGGACTGTAGTCAATGGGCGATGAAGGTTGAAGGGATTGTTGTCATACGATAGTGGTCAAAGGAGTTGTAGTTAGGGGATAGAGGTCGGATGGACCATAGTTTGGCGATGACAATATGAGGTATCATACTCGACAAGCGATTGTGATCGGAGGGACTGTAGAAAGGGAGAAATGGTCGGAGGTGTCACGACCCAACCCGATCGGAACGAATCCCATCGCGTCGGGTCGCGATGAAATTATCCATGATCTAGCTTTAGAATTCGCTTCAGACTTCCTTCCAAATATCCAGCAAACAGAAAATACATAAAACACAGAGCTACTATAAACATCTAAATATATAGAACAGTTCATCTATATTTTCTTCTTTCATCATCAAAATAATCATGTACACTACAGTGCATAGCTACAGACAAAAAATAAAACTGAATAGAAAAGACATGACTCTACAAAAATCACAAGTACAAAATACATAATCTGAGATCAGACACAGAACGGCTAGTCCAAGACTTCCTTCCCTTTCCCATAACCTGAAAACCACGCAGATAACAAGAATGAGCTAACAGCTCAGCAAGACTACACTAGCCAATCAAAATATTCAGAAATACTCAGTAGAAAATATATCATAAGCAGTTATTCAAATAGCCGTACAAAATTCAGGTAATCATACATAAATCGTATAACAGATAGAATACATATTTCAGATACTTGAACAGAATTCAAACAGCTGATAAACAGAAAAACTGAATTCATTCATATAGCAGAATATTCAAATCAGAACTATCTTCAAATCACAGAAAAGACAGAATCATACAAAACAGATTTCAAATCAGATAAAATCACATTTCAATATCAGATCACATATCACATAACACATATCAGATTCCCGGACCCTGACAGAATCTCTACGGATTCTGGCCCCTTATGCCTCCCTTCCCTGACACTGACAGAATCGCGACGGACTCTGGCCCCTTATGTCTCCCTTTGTGTTTATAGCACCAGAACAGAACAGATATTCAGAAATTTCATAACAAAACTTGTTTTCAGATTTCCCGGACTCAGACAACGGAATCATAAGGGGTTTCGGCCCCTTATAACTCCCTTCCAATATCACAGCACCTCAAAAGATTCAATTCCGAACATCAGATTACGTTAGAAAAATCGTTAGATGCATAACGGCAGTATACATAATTTACACAGAATTCATAGATTCAGAAACTTACCAAATTACCACAGATAATACAAAATAACATTGTAAGTCTTTCATTATACTGAAGCAAAATTTTACAACATCCTGATAATTCGTAATTCAATCAAAACGCCACAGACTTCAAAATATCCGATAAAAATCTTCCAGAAAATACTCAAAACTTGTACAAACATCATCTTAGAAACATATCAAAAGTTACGCGGTAGAAAGTTTATCAGTGTGAAATGAAACCAGATATTCGCTAAATAAAATAAACTTTGAAATAGAAAAGTCATAAAAATCCACATTTCTAAAAATTGAGAAAGGAAGAATATGCATTACCTCGAGTCGATCAACTTTTCCAACTACGGGGACGGACGAAAATGGACCGAAGTTGCCCAAAAATCACTTTTCTTCCTTTTTCCTTCGATTTTCTCTCTCTTGGGCTTTTCTCTCTCTTCAAGAGACCTCAAACTCATATATCCATGCAGATCGTACGGGACGATCCAAACTCGTCCCGGGACAATCTGAATTCTAGACAAACTTCATTCAGACGCGAACAGTAATCATTCTTGGACGGCTTGCTCTCTGGACAAATTTCATCCAGACGAACCCTACTTCGTCCTGGGATGAACCTCCCAGCCAGAAATTCTGTACAAACCTGTACCGATCATGTAATGACCCGACCCGATCCGGGACGGATCCCGCTCGCACCGGGTCGCGACACGGAAAGCGGAACACACTGACTGACCAGGATCTGGTTTTGGAATTTGGTTCTGAACTGAATCTTCCAAATTGTTTCAACTCAAAACAACCACAAAACACAGAAACAATAGAGCTACTATAAATCACCAAATGCAGCGGGACAAAACATCTATCTTTTTCTTTTCCTCAAAATAATCATCTACAAATACAGTACATGACTTTTGAACAGAAAGAAAGACAGAACAGAAAAGCCATGACTGTACAAAAATCAAAAGGTACAAACAAATACCTATACTGATCAGATTCTGAAATCTATTTCTGGACTTCCTTCCCTTTCCCAGAACCTGAAAACTAC